ATATAATACTAAGCTATTGTGTTTCCTATTCTCTGTTTGTGCTTTGCATGTAACAATACATAATGTTAATGCTAAGACTAATAATTAATATTAACTAACTAACGGTAATAAAAACAACAATAATAATAACAATGACAACAATAACAGCAGCAATAATAATAACAATAAGTTATAGTAATACTTAAAGTATTAGTATTTTATACTTCATGAATTACTCCTTCAAAATGTAGTAGTATGACTTGTGGTTGAGTTGACTTGTGGCCAATTTGATTTGTGGCCAAGTTGACTTGTGGCCGAGTTGACTTGTGGCCGAGTTTGACTTGTGGCCGAGTTGACCTGTGGCCAAGTTGACTTGTGGCCGAGTTGGATCAAATTCTATGTTACGGTCCAGTATATTACTACGCGTATGATATAATTGACTGGATTGTATTGCGGAGATAATTGTAAATAATTGAAAATTATAGCGATGCAAAATAATAACAAGATATAAATATTGCAAAAGACATAGTGGCTCATATGTGTTAGAAAACACTGAAAGAGGTATGAATATCTGGAGGTACTTTGTTTACGCGTATGCATCCTTCTGAAATGACATTGTGAAAGAGTGCAGGCCGGGACTAATTTAAATCAGTTTTTTATTAATTATTAATAAATGACGCGATTTTGGAAAACACCACATAGCCTATTACCTGCCCAGTACCAATCTAAACATTTGAGTGAAAATTTGGTTGAAATCGGTTCAGTAACAAAAGAGAAAATCCCGGACATACAAACCCCAATTTGCCTTTTATATTATATAGATCTTGCCAAGTCGACATAATAAAAATTATATGTTGTCATGATGATATAAATTATCTTGCCAAGTTAGCTTCTCAAAAAGTATGTCGTCATGGCAAGATGAATTATTTTGCTAAGTTGACTTCCGGAAAAGCACATATCATCATGGAGCCAAGTCATCATAGTAAAAAGTATATGTTTATAATTGTTCCTAATTATTGTGAAATGCTATATATGCATTGCATTTTATATTCGCCAGCTCTTCTAACAATTGATTTTTATTAACTGTGGTATGAATTTTGTTGGAAATTTGAGGCATGTTGTGGCGAAATGGTTAAGTTGTCGCATGATCCAGTATTGTATTATTGATCATGTCCCAAAGTATTAGTTCTGGAAGTAATTAACAATTGTTTATCGTTATTTTTCATAGTTCATTCTATTAAACAATGTATGCACAAATAACTTTGAAAGGAAATTACTCAAAATCCTGTTTATCTTGACTGTAAGAGTACTGTACTTTCACTTTCCAGTAACTTCGGCTTGAAATGTCCAATTTGAATGAATGAACCCTCATTTTAAAAATCACATACTCAGGTATCTGAAAATACTAATAACTTGAATTTCAATTTTTGCTACAACTTAGCCATTTTGCTACAACATGCCTCATTTATCAGCTGCAGTGATAACAGATTGATCCATGTGAAAAATGTTATCTATAGGCCTGTAAAGGACGAACCGTTAACTTCTTCAGCCCCATAAAAACACCCACAGTAATGAAAATTTAAAATCAAATATTCACAAATTATGGGTTTTGAGAAATCCATCATGCAATTTGAATTGTGTAATTATTAGCTTTTACTGTAAGAATTTGTTTATATCAAATTTTTAAATCTTGTAGGCTTTAATTATTTATTTTATGTAGCAATTAAGAGGGTACAACCTATTTTCTAAAAGGTGGTAGAGGGAGTGGGGGGGGGGCAGGCAGTTATGAGTCCATGCGGTATGGTACCCTCCAGGTTGTAGCATTTGTTTGTCATTTTAAATAAAATAATTTTATCAAACAATAATTTTTTATTCTAAACTGTTAAATTCTGTTAATTTTTATTACTTAACTTATTTAACTAGATCTATATTTTAACTTACTGTATTTTTTTTTTTAAATGACCTATTAATAATTGAACTAATGACAAATGAACAAGTCAAGGAATAATATAATCCATAGACTAGAAATTGCAAATTGCAAGTGAAGTGCTGCGAAGTACAACTGCATATAAATGTTCTTCGAACAAAATTATTTATGCGAGTCAAGTGAAAATAATGAATAATAAAAATATAACAAATAATATGAGACACGACCCATTGTCTATATTAGAACACTTCTCATTGAGTAACAAAGTTGTAATTTTTCATTTTTGTCAAAAAGTGTCTATAGTGGTAATTATGGTTTAGGTTTTTTTTAATAAAGTTTCAAAAATTTCTATGTATGTGGAAAATGTAGTTGATAATACCAAAGGTTACAATTTTTATTTTGAAGACTGCATGGTCTAGGAAGCGTACATTTTTTATGGGGCAAGTTTCCAAGGGCGGGTTTTCTAGGGGCGAGTTGACTGCCAAAGTGCGAGCCAGCGTGTTATTTGATCACAAGTGCGAGACATCACAAGTGTGAGCCAGCGAGCCATGATGTCACGACAATAAATATAAGATGTTAACAAGTTGTGCGAGGTATCGGCAGAGATTTGTGGAGTACAATTCAAAAAAGAACTATAGGTCTAATAATGAATTATTGTGATGTTAAATAGAAAATGTTAGCTATCAAGGAGCGACGTTGTTTTTCATTGGGACCTTCGTCCCTTCAAGGCTAGGCCTATACCATTCTAGCTATTCTAGGCCTAGAGTAGGATAAGGAAATGTCGCCTAAAGTAATTGATTTTACCCAGCAGAACGAAAGAAGGAAACTCCGCTTTTCAGTCGTCTTAGGCCCTTGTTTTTTGACAAACAATGACTTTTCAGAGGTCAAATTGCTGTCAAGAATATGAATTGGCTGCTTTGCAGCAATTAAAAGTATAGTAAATAATATTTTTTATAGTGTCAATTTTACATTTATAACTCAATATTATAGTATAAAATAAAGTTATAAATGTAATTTCCTATGAAAAGGATGAAATAAAGTTTTTCTATATCTGTTATCATTTATTTTTAAGAATCTAATGTCAAATAAGTTGCCATTTACTGTATATAGTACATTTTGCAGAAATTAAATAAAATTGGTAAATTTTGTATTGCAACTTTTTTTTCAGTACAGCTGAGATTAAAATATCTGTTGTCACCAAAATGGACCTTTCCGGGGAGTCAGTAAAACTTAACAACCGACCAATCAGAATAGGGCCAGGAATATGCGTGTGTGTTTTAACACTCATTATTTGGGGCCTTAGAAGCAATATCCAAGGGGGTGGTGTTTAGCAAAAAGGTCTATTATACTAGTGGCTGGTAGGTTGTAGTCTGTTATATACTGGTTATATAAATTATGTATTTATGCTTGTTTGGGCCAGAGGTCTATAATAAATAAATGATTTGTTTTGAATTATGGATTCAATTTCTTGGTATTTTGCAATTGGAAGATTAAAAAAAAAAAATCAAGTTTTACTACTAAATAAATGCTTCCTTAAAATTTTTCCAAGAAAAAAATTAACTTATGTTTGTTTTAAAAATACTTTATGTATACCATAATACATAATGTAAAACACTGTGTCTTCCAACTTTTGATAAATTTAATATGTGTACACATATACTATGTATAATGTGTTAATAATAAATATGGCATTTATAAAGCGCCTTTTTCTGGATAGGTTACAAAGTGCTGCATGAATGCTTAGGAAAGATCACAAATCACAGAAATAAAATAAAGTCAATATTTTGAAAACAAGTAGGTCTTGAGTAGTTTTTTGAAAGATGTAATTGTTGAATCTGGAATGTTTTGTTGTTTAAACATATTTTGCTTTACTTATATAATAATAATAATACACATTTTTTAAAGCGCCTATTAAAGCAAACAAAACTGGCTTGTCACCGGCGCTGGAGGATGTTAGAAAGAAGTTGAACTATTTGAAGAGGAATGATTTAAGAGTAGATTTGAATAATTGCGGATCAGAAATGATACGTAATTGAGGAGGCAGAGAGTTCCAGAGTTTAGGAGCAGAGAAAGAAAAAATACCATTTTAACATTTTTTTTTTTGTAAATGATCAGTTGCATACCCACACTGGAGTGTGCTTATTTATTTTTGTTGTATATTTGACTGAATAACCCATTCACATGCGTTTAAAAATATTTGTCTAAATAACAAAACTATGACGGTTTGTTTCTTAAGGTGATTGCAAGGAAAAGTGTATGTCAGACCTAAAACTTGCAGCAGTAAGCAATACTGTATTTGACTTAAGCGTAAAAGAACTAAGAAGTAAGGAGGTAAGAATATGGTGAATCAGTAGCTAGGTTTTTAACATTTTAGGATTATTGTATTATTATTATTGTCAAAAAACATTATTGTCATCACCATCATCATTGTCATCATCATCATTATTTTCATCATCATTATCATCAAAATTCTCAACATCATCCTCATCCTCGTCACAGAGGGCCATCTTCTCGTAGGTCAAACTCCACGGCAACTGGACAGCCGTAAATTTTGGTTTTGAGATCGATGATTGATGATGCACGTTGAATACAGCTTAGTGTTTTTAAAGAAGAGATATTCTTTTGACCTTTTCTTTCCAACACTTTCTTAGATTATTATGTATCATTCCACTAAATTTTATGATGATCTATTCCTGAATAATCTTGCTAGCAGACAGACAGACAGGCGAATACAAACTTCTTGGGCAGAAGTATAAGAATCAACAATGCATGCTATTACCCTACAGGGTATATCAACCCACCTCCCCATGATCCATGGTAAATATTCATTAAAATATTCATTATGTGCACGTTTCTCAATCACAGCAGTGTATTCAGAATGCTATAGATACGTCATGGATTCTTCAAATGAATGACACTGCAGCTGGAATTTCTCTAAATTATTCCGTAAAATGTCAGCAAGGCTGCCAGCATTGCAATGATGAATCCCTTCGACCACGTAAGTTTAATACCAAAATATACTTTATAAAAAGACCTGGGAAAATAATTACAATAGTCCTACTGTTAATAGTATTGCTTCTATATATGAAACCGCCCACATTTTTCAGAGTTCCAAGAGTGGTCCCAAATTAGAGGGCAATTATTGGCATTTAAAAGAGCTGTGTGCCAGAAGACAGATACAGTACCCAGAGACTTGAAATATTAAAAATGGTCATGTACAATGTACCCCAATGGTTAAAGCACAATACTGTATATAAATATATATTTTGTAGATCCTCCACAAGAGATTACTTACAGATCAACGACTGGATCAGACTTGTGTGTCAGGTGGAAAGGGAATGTATCAACAAATTATACGATGTATTATAGACAAGGAAGGTAAGTTGAAATAAAGATGATGATACTACTTCTGCTGATGATGATGATGATGATAATGACAATGCTGCTGCTGTGACTATGATGATATTTATGTGGGGTGGAGGGAAACTAACGGCTGAATCTGCGCCAGGATTTGCCAAATGGGGAATCTGAGGTCCCCCGACGAGGTGTGTGGGGGGGGGGACAATGTACCCGACGAGAACAAAGTGAGCTTGGTCGGGCATTACTCAAAATATTTTGAAAGTGGTCCAGGGGTGAACCCCCCGAAAATTGTGACAATCTAGGAGCTTAAAATGCTTATTTAATCGATTTTGGAGTTTACTAATATGTAGAAAATACATATGATGATGACTTTGACGGTGATGATAATGGTGATAATGAGGGCATTGTTGGTGGTGGTGGTGTTTGCGTGAAGATGGTGATGAATGAGATCTAAGGGTTTGAATGATCCATTATTTTATATGTATTGAATATTTGTATATTTATAGAGGATACTGTTCGGATGAGTACCAACAGTGCATAGCAGATAGGTCAGAGAACAAATTTTTTGAATGCTGCCCACAAAATCTTCATCCGGTTGCTCCTATATTCATGAGGATAAATTATGAAAACAAATATATGTATGTGAATGGTACATTATACTGGTTGAGAGCTCAGACTATAGGTAAGCAAATGTCAACAACACTGGTTAGCTACACAGCTAACGATAATGAGTGTGATGATGATAGCTTTAATAATAACACTAATTTAAT